CTCTCCCCCCTCATAACGTTTGCCCCTTTGATCCCCTCCCACCCCCTCCCCCACCTAAACCTACCCCCCCCCCCTCTGAACGCCCCCTGAATACCACCCCCTCCCCACCTGAACTCACCCCCTCAGTCACCTGAACCCACCCCCTCCCCACCTAAACATACCCCCCCCCCACTGAACGCCCCCCGGGGGGGGGGGGGGGGTTTGTTGTTGTATATGGGCAAACACTAGGGGAGGGGGGGGGGGGGTAATGGAAGCAGGATCAGTCCAACTCGAACTTTACCCCCCCCCCCCCCCCCGAAAGTTTCTAATAATTTTGAATAACATAAAAAAAGTAACGAAAATGTCAAAGTTAGGCAGAAAAAAATTGAATTGAACAACAAGTAACCAAAGTAACTTGTTTTTTTTTTGAAGGCAATTTCTTTTTTTGAAGGCAACTGCAGTATTTTATTGTTAATCCACTATTTTTGTACGCGTTTGTATAGTTTTATAAGTTCAATAATCACATCACGCAGAAGAAACTTGAAGAAAATTTTTTTCTGTAATTTTTTATGAATGTGGTCGGAACATTCTGTGCTACCTGCACAGCTACCGGCTATCCTTGTTTCTTTATCCTTCCGAAACAGTGGAGGCAAAACTAATCATTGTCTTTTCCATTCAATCGAACTTTAAACGGGGAGTACATCCGCTGGCTTATCATATCAACATCATCATGAGCGTTATACCTCGCGATTGTAAGTTTGTCAAAAAAGAGAGAGCCTTTCAGAGTTAGTCAATTAGTCAGTACAAAAGGAAGAACTTTGAGCTGAACTTCCCTAAAAAAGAGGTTTATGGGAAAGTAGAATCTTAGGTTAAACGCTTCCCCGGGTCGTTCAAGATTTTTATCGTAGAGAAAGCGAGTGCTATGGTCGCCGAACTAAGACAACATGTGCCTGGTTTTCAAATCGAGGACGGGTGCCACTGGGTGAATGAAATGGCTGCCATCCCGAACATTTTCAACCGTATACATAGGTTTCATCACCAGAAGACCAGGATACCAGGAATGTATGGTTTCTATTGTTTTAGGCTGGCGCCGACTGCTGAAAGATGCCTTGAGAGTCCGGCAGCAAGAACATTTTAAAAGCGCTTTGCGCTAAAATTGATATGGGTACAAAATACAAACCGAAGGAGCCGCCTAATGTATGCGTTCGACTTGGTTTCTGGGGTCCAACCAAAGTTTTAAATGAACGAGACAGTTACGTTGCGGTAGACCGGGTTTTGCGCTGGCTGTCAACAATGATTAGTGAACAAACAATCAGACAAAGCGTTTAATTTCAATTCCAGACATTGATTTCAATTCAATCATGTGGTCCATCGAAAAAAAATACTTGAAACAAGGATCCAGGCTCACAGGAAAAGCGAAAAAAAAAATTCGCATTGCTGAAGACAAAGAAAAAATATGTTTACCGATGACCAATTTTAGGTTGACCAGATGCGTTAAACGTACAAAAGTAGAACTTTGAGCTGAACTACGCTAAAAAAGAGGTTTATGGGAAAGTAGAATCTAAGGTTAAACGCTTCCCCGGGTCGTTTAAGTTTTAACCAAGCGCCTTACTCAAAAAATCGCTGATCTAGGCCGCGAGGCTAATGCGGTTTTATGAAGCCCAACAAAAAACCCTGGCTTCAAAACCTCTGGCTTGAAAAAACACTGGCGTCCTATAGTATGAACTAACATGAGGCCGGACGTGGAGTTGAACCAGGAAAAAATGAACCACCCTATCCGAGTGATTGTGAAGCTCGTAACAAGGAACGGAGTTCATGTAGACAGAGCAGAAAAGATGCGAGAAAAGCAGCGGCCAAGCAAGTTGCGTGGCAGGACAGAGCCGCTGTTTCAACGCCTTGAGGAAAACAACTACATGTATAGGCTAATAAAGCACAGAATTTAGATAGCAGCGAAAAAGCAGCGAATCCAGATACACGGTTACATTAGAAAACGAGTCTGAGCTTAGAAAAAGTGGGATTGCCCAAAAACTTATTTGGCAACCCAGTGAGAGTTTTCAAAGAACATGCCGAGTACTCCTACACCAGCAGAACTGCGCAAAAAAACTGAGGCGAAACTGAAACGAAAACGAAAGAAAACAAAAACTGGAAAAAAAAAACGTGGGACGATGACGATGAGGATTCTGGATTCAAGTGTGAGCAGGCATTGCTGCCTTGCGGCGTGAAAGCGAGGTAAAAATCGAAAGCGAGTGGAAACGAGATGAGCAAATCAAAGCCGTGTAATTGTTATACGACGACACTGGGGTAGAAAAATGATCAGCACGCATCAAAGGAAATGAGCATAGACACGCCCGGTGAGATGGAACCCAGTAGTCAATCAGCTGCACCTCAAGCTGTTACTGTGAAAACGATGCATCGCAGACCACGACTGAACGAGACGAAGACATTGATCCGAAGGAGAGTGAACAAGTGCAAACTCAAGAAAGGGGGAATAAAAAAACAGCGAGACGACCACCAAAACAGAGGCTGCTGTAACATTCGAGCCAGGAATCGAATCGCCAATATAAAAACAGCTCATGATAAACTTCGAGGGAAAGAACGTCTTTATCTAAAATGGAGGCCGCGATGATTAACATCACGAAGGAGCAACAAAAAGGGGACGCGCCGGACATTCAAAGAGGGTGAAAAGAGAGTATGTAGGATAGAATTTTAACTTTCAATATGCATTTTAGATTACTGTTTAGGGGAAAATGTCACATAGGTGTAAGGTTTGAGTTAGATTTATGTTCAGTCCCTTGGTGTTGACCTCGTGCCTTTGGTGCTTGTTAATTGATACGTTTCAACAGCAATTTCTTCTGTGTGAGGTGTTTAAACAGTTGAATGAGTTTATAGTTAGAAATACGGAGCTACATTATCATCAAATCTATCTGTTGAATTCAATTACCGGAGTTAAATCTATCACATACTGACTTGAGAAAAAATAGTAAAACAAATATGTAGCGGATTAAAGATACCATGTTTTCAAGCTTCCAAGTTTAGTGCCAATTCCGGAAGCAGATTACTTGTGTTTGTGTACAAAATTTTTTAGCAAAGAAATAAACATTTTTTGAAGCAGGGTTGAATTTTTATGTAATTTTTTTTTCTAAACTTCTGCTTTTTTTGTGTAACTTATCTTTTTTATCACCCTGCAAACTTCTTTTCTCTAATTCCTGGGGTTTTATTTCAATTTTACTCATCATATCCAACCAATATATTTGTATACAAAAAAAAGTTTCTTTGACTAGCATGATCCTAAAAGTATTGTCAATTTTTAAAGTTTTTTGTTTTAAATACCATTCATGACCGATAACTAACTTACACCTAATTCAATGTTTTCATGCTCTTTTAGGTGTTTCGGATTAATTTGCTTGAAATCATTTCTTATATCAGAACATCATTTTCCAGCTGTAAAAATAAAATTGAATATAATGGATTTTCATGGTCTAAAATGCTGTAAATATAATCGATTCCCATGTTACGTTCAGACAACAAAATTGGACTAAAAATGATTTTAAATCCAATTTTTCTCGCCAAAACCAAATGCATACTAATTCATTTGGAATCCATTATAATGGATTTTATAATAAGTATGAAATCACATTGAAATGGATTTTTTTCTAAGAAATTTTGCAAGGACTTCTGCATTTATCAAGTGAGTAATGCTGAAACTTTGCAAAGCGAGTGTACGGCCTATTCCATTTCTGAAGCTAAACTCAAATCAAATTGCAAAAAGATTCAGTTAAGCTCTCCCCCCTCATAACGTTTGCCCCTTTGATCCCCTCCCGTCCCACCCCCTCCCCCACCTAAACCTACCCCCCCCTCTGAACGCCCCCTGAATACCACCCCCTCCCCACCTGAACTCACCCCCTCATTCACCTGAACCCACCCCCTCCCCACCTAAACATACCCCCCCCCCCCACTGAACGCCCCCGGGGGGGGGGTTTGTTGTTGTAAATGGGCAAACACTAGGGGAGGGGGGGGTAATGGAAGCAGGATCAGTCCAACTCGAACTTTACCCCCCCCCCCCGAAAGTTTCTAATAATTTTTGAATAACATAAAAAAAGTAACGAAAATGTCAAAGTTAGGCAGAAAAAAATTGAATTGAACAACAAGTAACCAAAGTAACTTGTTTTTTTTTTGAAGGCAATTTCTTTTTTTGAAGGCAACTGCAGTATTTTATTGTTAATCCACTATTTTTGTACGCGTTTGTATAGTTTTATAAGTTCAATAATCACATCACGCAGAAGAAACTTGAAAATTTTTTTCTGTAATATTTTATGAATGTGGTCGGAACATTCTGTGCTACCTGCACAGCTACCGGCTATCCTTGTTTCTTTATCCTTTTTGCTCATCGGTTTAATTTTTTTTTCGTTTTAGACATATCTAGAATCATATCTAGACCTCCGATTTTCTACTAATTATAATTTTAACGCTATTTAAGCCATTATGGCCTCTTTTTCAAACTTTTATGGCCCTTTATTAAAAAATAACTTTAATACTTGTTTTCCGATTTTTCTTTTATCGGTGTAGCTGGAACATTTGATGATACTCATTTCAATTTGTAGATGTATATAGTAGTCTAGGTCTTGTTCTGATGGACGATTCCAGAGAAATTTGCAAAAATAGCAATTTTAATTGTTATCAGTAACGGTACAGAAGTTGGGTGGGAGAATTAATACTTTCAATCAGAATTCAGACTAATCAACCGATAATAGGGCTTATTTAGAAAGAAAACTTCGCTAAATGCAAAATTTGTTGATCAAATGCTCAAGTTTCGACGACCACTCTCCAAGAATAAATTTTCAGCACAGTGTCTCAAAAATTGATGACAAAATTTTCCGACTATTTCATTTCAAAACACTTTTCGCCTTCTCGTCAAAGTCCCTACTCGAACATCGAGAGAAAAATTTTGGTAAAGATATGCTTCAAATTTTAGTACGAATCTAACAAATTGTTTCTGAACAACTTCGTTGGAAATTGTTGAGCAGTTTTTATAATACTAAATTTATACGCTTATTGTTTATTATATAATACAACAAATAGGGAAAGCAAAAGAAGTTTTACTAGGCAAAAGTTAGAGTTTTCACGGTTAAACTGGCAGAAAAGCGAGGAATAGATTTGAAGTTTTTTTTTAATTTGGTGTCAATTTTTGGCACTTTCGACAATCTTAACTGTCGATTATCTCAATTGCCGACTGCTTTTTCTCGACACTTTCTTTGGGCAGACAATTTTTTGAGGCGCTCTTTTTGTTAAATCTCTGTAATACATACTCCATTTGGTAGGTTCGATTCCATGAGCTAAAGCCAAATCCTTGTAAACGCAATAAGTGTATTTTGGAGAGGTATTCGAGACACCGGCAACATTTTGAACAGTTTTGCCCGCTTTTTCGATACATAATCCCATGTAAACGTCTTCAAGTTTGAAGAAATTTACCTGCAAAGTTGCATTGAACAAATAGGGAATCATATCTCCGGTGAAAGCGTACGAGGGACCGTAACAAAAGGGGGGGTACCTGACCCTTGGGAATTCTTCCTTAGATATGTACCATTTCGACTTTTTTGTCCGATGCGGTTTGCCTTTCTTAATACAATTGCCACCGAAAAACTCCGATTTCGGTAAATTATCTAAAAGTGGAACAAATTTTTCAGGTCTCACAAAAACGTCGTCGTCAATTTTAAAAACATAATCGGCATTTTGGCAATAGAAGTTGGCAAAAGTGACGCCAAACATTGTTTTGTACGTCAAATTCCAGTAATCTTCGATGAAATCACCGACTAACAAATCGTTATACACCGAATTTTCAAGTTTCAATAAATCAAACGTAATTTTCCAGCTTAAAGATTTCGTGTTTTTCGAGTCGGACGTTTTTCCGAGAATAAACAAGTGTTTCAGCACGTATTTGTCTGTTAGATTTCGAGTAACTTTGAGCCAAGACGATCTGATTATTTCACGACGTAGCGAGTTTTTAGGCTCGGACGGAATTAGAATTAGCACCAATTTTTGATGTTGCTGAGATATTTCGCGACAAGCGTGTAACTGCTTGATTAGAAAGCTATCTTCAGTGTTAAAAATATTCTTTTTGCTATCTGTAAACAAAGTTTGACCTTTTTTGATTTGTTCTTCTGATGATGTTGATGACTTGTTCTCGTTTTGAACGAGTTCCGAATGGAGAGTTCTCGTTTGATTATGGACAAAGAGATTGGTCAAATCGGGAAACTTGAATGGATAGCGCAGCACGCCTGATTTGATCACATCACTTTTACCGAATAAGGAGAGACTGGAACCTGACCAGTGAAACTTTCCAGACTCGCCGTCTTTTCCCGATCTTCCGTCAATCGTTTCCTCAGATCCCGAGTTTTCCTCGTCGCTCGCTGAAAACTTCATTCGGCGATTTTTCATATGGTTCAGTTTAGACGACTTTTCAGCAATCGCAGAGGTTATAAAAGTTTGCATGGTTGCAAATAAACATAATGCAAGTAGGAAAATGATGAAATATTTCAGCAGCGTTGTTCGGTTTTGAAGACACCTAAGCATAAAATTCAACATCAAAACTCGAAGATAAAATGCAATATACTATTGAGCAGATTAAGGTTCAAATACGGATTTGTTTAACCAAAGCAAGGACCTAAGTTTATCTTGGCGCTTGAAACCCAAACATTCAATGTATGTTCTTTATATGGCTTTCATCTTTTACTAGTTTGCCAAAACGCTAACAATCAGAAACAAGACTGCTCGTATCAGCGCGAAGCCCCGAATGTTCCGACTTCCCTTTATTGTGCATGGAACAATTTTTGATTTTACTACATTTAGAAAACTTCAACATTTATTCAACTTTTTTGCTGAAAAATTTGCTCCACACGCTATAATAAGTACTATGTCATGTAATTGGCGTCTTGTTGCGTAAAAACATGGCCGAGTTGCTCGCCTCAACTGAAATTATAATGATTTAATTTGCTGCCTAAATGTGAAAAAACGCAATATATTGCGCGGGAGTTATCCCAAATTGCGCGGGAGTTATCCCAAATTGGCCAAACTTAGACTTTTAACAAGCCTACAATTTTAGAAAAAAATATTCGTCGGCGAATTCTTTTTCTTTGAGCTTCAGACATTTTTCAGACTGAATAAATTAATTTTATCAAAAACGCCGAATTATGAAATCGAAATTGGTCTGAACTGAATGAGAAACATCACCCCCAAGTATAACAACTCCGTCATTTTTTTGAAAGCCGTAACAACAAAAGATGAAGCAAAAAAAGGAAATCGCTATAAAAAGTACTTAAAAGATGCCATACTTTTAGTAATTGCTTGCCTCAACTCAATTTGGAAAAATATACAAAATTTATTTTCTTGCAGGGTTATTTCGCCGGTCATAATTTATAGAACAAAATACAATGTACAAAAACCATCCCAAATTAACGAAATTGACTAACTTTTAAACTCTCAAAATCTTCCAATAAAGAAAAGCAAGTAAATTTTTTGTACGTTTTGAGATCAAGACATCAATATCTTTCAGGTAATGAAGTAGGTTGGTTCGGTCACAAAGTGCTTGATACCAGTTTGAAGGTTACCCCAAAAATAAAAAACCAGCCTGAGCATAAGTATTCCTTTAACTTCTGCAAAAATTGAAAGAAAAGTACTATATTAGAGGGCTGGCTACTCTAAAAGACTAGTGGGCTGGGCCATGAGTCGACAAGAGTTTAAATTAAAGAAGCGGAAAAAATCTAAACTGTACCACGACTGCTCCTATCAGGACAAAACCCTGAATAAGCCGACTGCCATTTTAGGTCTATGGAGCAGTGTTCGCATTAAAATATTGATGAAAATATCAAAAAAAAAAAACGAAACAATTTTCCAAAATTTTTTAAATCCCCCACACGCAAGTTAAAATAATAAGTGATAGATTTTACTCCTTGCAACGTAGCGATTATGATGAATAGCAAGCTTCAACCAATTTTGAATCAATTTCTAAGAGGGATTAAATCACCGCTTACGCGTTCAAATAGGCAGTCTTCAAACCCCTATAACTTTACGAAATGATCAGAGGTGAAATATCTTTTTTAATATGAGCTAAACCTTTTGGCTGATAAAAATTCTGTCAATAATGGCTAGTTAAAAAAGTGAAATTTGTCTGGAGAAAAAATCAGCCGAGCACAAACTTTCCGTTACCCTCTTTGAAAGTCGGAACAATAATTCGCAAGTAATTTTTCACACCAAATTAAGGTTCACAGATTAATTGCAATTTCTTTAACAATGACGACTAAGCGGATTTGGTATAGGCGCGTGAAGCCACGCCTATACAAAACGTCTTCTCAATTGCCAACCACCACATTTTAGGCTAGAGGTAAACACTGTTTGACGCATCAGAATACTCAATCTCGAAAAAAACAAGACTGCTCGTATTAGGGTGAAGCTCTAAAAAATCCGACTGCCTTTAAGGTCTCTGAGGCAGTAATAACATGAAAAAATTTAATAAAACGAAAAATCATCCCCGCACACGCCATATAAAATTCTGAGTGATAAATTTCGCTCCTAGTAACAACCCAATTAATGCAAATGAGCATCATTTGAAATGATTTCTACGACGGATTATATCTCCGCTTACGCGAAAAACGCTCACTGGTTAAATATCGTTTCAAATTTAAGCTCAGTACAACAATACCTTTCGAATGTTTATAAAAATTCTGTCAAAAATGGCTAATTAAAAAGTCGAAATTTCTCTGAAGAAAAAAAACCACCCCGAGCACAAATATTCCATTATTTTCATTACAAATTTCGGAACAATAAGTGTAGCGAAGGAAGCATTCGCCATTTTCAAATATTATCTGAGGAATCTAATTAACTAATTTTCTATTTGTGAAAAAAAAAGATCGAACAGTTCAACAGATTCGCTAAAAAAAATACAGCCTCTTGAGTCTAATGATTCGAGATTTGGAATAAAAAATTCTTTTGGTGCGCATCATAGTTTTTTGGAACTAAGCAGTAGCCTCAGTTTTTGCAAAAAAATTCATTTTCCAATATCAGTTGGCTGTATGAAAAAAGCGGAATCCAAACTATTCTCTGGATTTTACAGAACACCAAATTTCTTTTATTTTCTTTACATGAGTGGTTATAAGTTGCAATACTAAAACAAGACTACTCGTATCAAGACAATGCCTTGAATGTTGCGGCTGCCCAGTAATTAGTCTCGAGTAGTTTTTGGTAATGAAATATTGGCAAAACTATGATTTTTAGACTGATAATTTCAAAGTGTTAAAACTTGAGTCATTTATGGAATTAATAAGATTAATCACCTTGCCTCAATTCAATTTGAATCGATTATGAGTGCGAATTAATTGCATCGTGTAAATATTCCGCGTCTTGGAAAAAAAAATCAAAGTATTATTCCAACAGTAGTTCATTCGCTGCGTCTCATAATTAATTGATGAAAATTTAATAGCCTAAAAACATTGAAATCAGCCAGTGATATCCAATCATTCTGCAACTTTAGCCTTATTTTTGATCTCATTAAGTCCTATCACTTAATCAGTATAATTGTTTGAATGACAAAAAAGTTTTTCTCTGCACAAAATTATTTTAGAACATCTTTTTGAAACTCGAATCACGACTCAGATATCACACTCAACCACCCATGAATGTGCTTCGATGCGCCTCAATTCTCGTAAGAACCCCCTACTATATATAAATAGTTCCAACTTTTTAAGAATTGCTGGAAAAAAAGTATCTCCAGTTCGAACAATTTTTTATCACCTCTTTTTAAACATTCTAACCCTGATATGAGCCGAGATAAAAAAATAACCTTTTCAAACAATCAAAAGGCGAAGGAATTTTTTTACGAGGGTAGATATACTAAAATTTTCTTCTTGGTTTTAAGTTTCAATAATTCACCCAAGTTCGAGAACAAAACTGAAAAAAAAAATGCTCAAATAGATCATCAGTACTATCTAGAAACTGGCCAAAAACTGAAAAACAGCCTGAAAGGGGCAAAAATTACAAAACTACCCACAAACTCTGGCATCTTGAGTTCACCCATACTATTTTGATTTGGGTGATATACAACAATAGGTGGCAGGTTCAAGTTAAATAGTTGGATCGTTTTTTGCGAAAACTAAATTATGCCAAAATAAAAGTTTTAAAATTAGGCGAAAATTTTGATAAAAAATGTGTACAATTTAGCAGAAATTGTATGTCATTCCCTTGCTACATATAAAGAGGGTAGGGCAAAAAGGCTAGGACTCCTTACAAAAATTAGAGCCGGTTATGTAGTCTTTGACCGCTTCTTGTCAATGTCGTCTTGAAAATTAGGGGGATTTTTGCTAAATTATACACTTTTATCCTTAAAATTTTCGCCTAAATTTAACACTTTTGTTTTCGCCTAATACAGTTTTCGCCTAATATAAAAAGCCCCGTACGAGCTCATCGCGGAGAACACCTGTTGTGCCCATGCCTACAAACTGCATGCAAAAAAAACTCGTTCAGTAGTTATGTTCGAATGTTTGGAAAGCGATCACGGCTTTTGTCAAAAAAGGTCTTTTTTCCACTTTCCACCAAGTTTGAATTTCAATTATGAAAAACTATTTTAGCATAGTCATAAATGCTATGAAACTTAGCACGGTGAACAAATTAAAAATTATGAACAGCGTTGTTCTTCATACCTTACATCATAACATCACCTGTTTAGACATAATCACACGTAAAACAACTATAAAAAGTATAGATTTTGAGGATATACTTAACTATCTCCCCCCCCCCCCCCCCCTATTGTATCTACTAAAGAATCCCCCCTTTCTTGAAAGGGGGAGGGTAGATTGTTAAGTGGATCCGATTTTGAATGGCGGGAGGAGGGGTGGAAAAGAGCCAAAAAATGAACACTTAAAAGTGAAAAGGGTATTTTAGTATCCATGAAAGACTACAGGAATTGAACAAGATTTGAATCAAGAAACAAACGCTAGGTCTGCATAATTGGGCCATTCTGCATAATTCAAAAATAAACTAGAAAATTGAACCAACCTTGATATTTTCGCCAGCCATTTCATCGTGCAACCAAAAATAAACCACAAAAAATTTTAGTAAATCAGTCAAATAAAAACCATTAAAAGCGAGTTAGAGAGCTGAAACGGAAACCAATTATATTTTCCCAGTTAAATTATTCCTTCTATATCAAGTTGAATAAAGTAGTAAAAAATTGACTGTATTATCAGCAGTTTATCATGCTGCGACGTGTTCAAAAACTGAAACAATCTGATTTTACAATAGTTAGAAAAGGAAAATAATTTATTCTGTCAAACGTGAAGTGTATTTGAATGTTGTAAATTTCATTTTTGGAGGGATTTTTTTTCATGGGATTATATTTAAACGTTGAAAGTCCTGAGAAAGCATTCAATTATTGTTGCGTCATGGTTCGGATTAATACACCTGCAAAAGATTAGATTGATTTCATTGATTGTAAAAGATTTTTACCTTTATTAAAGCGTAATATAGTAATGCCCTAGTTTAATAAATGAACCAACCAGCCTGGGAATTCAGCAAGACTGCACACCATCGCATACAACTGACAATCAATACAGCGAACAGCTTATCAACGGCCGAGCTAAGATTCCCGAAGTATGACTCAACCGAAACGGTTCAATGATGTCATTTAGTGGGCTCTTTTCCAGTTCCCTTCTTTGATTTTTTTTTCAATTTATGAAAGTCTATTTAAATTGGGATCTACTTAACAATCTCCCCATTTCAAGAAAGGGGGGGGGGAGAGATTCTTTAGTAGTTACAATAGGTGGGTAGAGATTGTTAAGTAGATCCTTAAATTGCCTTTTGACGTTATAAACTGCAATAAAACATGTCAGCGTGAACAGATGAACAAATTTTAACATGATTTCTTACATGCAAAACGCTGTGTGAACAATTTATGAATAGTTTGATTTTACGAGGGGGTTGAGAAATTGGAAAAAATTTATTCACCTTTGTTAGTGAAATTTTGCTCGACTTTGTTTGATCTTGTTGTTCCGAAAGTAACGGAATATTTGTGCTCGGGGTGAGTTTTTTTTTCTTCAGACGAATTTCGACTTTTTAACTAGCCATTTTTGACGGAATTTTTTTTATCATTTGAAAAGTATTGTTGTCCTGAGCTCAAATTTGAAAAGATATTTTACCTGCGATCATTTTTCGTAGAGTTACGGGGGTTTAAAGATTGCCATTTTGGCCAATTTGGGACAATTAACGCGCGATATATTTCGTGATATTAACACGTAAGCGGAGATTTAATATGTCTTAGAAATCTTTCCAAGTTGGTGGTTGAAAGCCATAATTATTGCCATAATTGATTTGTTACAATGAGCGAAATTTATCCTTTTGTACTTTATATGACGTGTGGGGTGATGATTTCCATAAAAAATTTCAAACTTTAGAGAAAAAAAATTTCGTTTCATTTTATTACATTTAATTGTTTTATGTTATTACTGCTCCATAAACCTTAAAATGCAGTCGGAACATTCAGGGCTTCGCCCTGATACGAGCAGTCTTGTTGATTTTTATAAGTGAAACACAGTTCGCGATCAATTTCGCTCGACTTCGTTTGACCTTATTCGACTTTTGCAGACACCGACCTTTTTTTCCTTCTATATTTGGCCTCCATAATTAACCTTATAAAACCCTTTGTTGTAAAACTGATGCTTACGTGAGGTGGGAAAAAAGAAAAAAGAGCCCAGATACCGTTCAATTTCTTAATCTTTTTCCGACATAACTTGACTTTTCGGCTCTTTTGCACCCTTTACGACGTTTTGGCGCTTTCAGCCATAATTACACATAAAATAATTATGAAAACAGAAATTGGGAAGAGAGCCGAATTTTGTACGTGCAGCTTTTGATGAAGCACTTTTGTTAGCAAATTTTCCTTCAGCAGAAATAAGTTTAATAAACTATTCAGAGGACAAAAAATAATTTAAAAAACAAGGATAGCTGGTTGCTGTAAAAGTAGCGCAGAATGTTCCGACCACATTCTCTGGAAAAAAATCTTCCTTATTTCTTCAAGTTAGTACCTTTCCGTGTACTTCGTGTGATAATAACTACACAACGATCAGAAATTGAACGAATTAGGCTTGAACAACCACAAAACTCTTCAAAAAATAAATGAACAAAAAAAACTAGCTTTTTTTTAACTTTTCGCATTATAAATATATTTTTAGAGAGTTTTTTGGCAAAGAAGCGCTAAGAGAAGCTTCCAAAACTAGTTTTTTGTTCAATAAAATTAAGTTTTTTATCCTAAATTGCTAATTTTCACATATAACGAACGTTAGTTCATCGCTTTACTGCTCAAAAATAGACAAAAAAATCAAAAATTTCTAACCAGTTTTTGTCGAGTTTTTTCTTTGAATATTTTTAATGTCATTTGAAACACGACTGAAAAGGTTTTAATGTGATTTATCCTTCAAACAAGTTCGACGATTATTTGTGGTAGCTGTTTTTGCGTGGAAAAAAATTTAAAATCACCCGAATACAAAGTTCCTCCCCATTTTCAATGATCGGAACGGAAAATAATTTTGACTAATTTATTGTTCGAAATAGTGTCTAGTAGCGCACATCTTGATTCAGCTGCATGATTTAATTCAGTCTGGGTTTTTTTCAACGGATTTACTGCTTCGCTATTTTCATGTTTTCCTTCAAATTCAGCTTATGGATTAGTTTATTATGCCATAAAATGATTGCATTTTTGATTAATTTCTATATAAAGTTCAAACTTAGGCAGGCCATCCAAGTTTCTAAAGTGATATGAAAGATCATAAAATCCTTGAATTGGATAAACTGTTTTCAAAAGTTGAATCAAAAACCTATTAGGTAACATAGTTTAACTTTTCCCTCAGTTAGAACGAAACAAACATTAAAGAAAGTAATTCAGATTTCACCATTTTCGAATTTAGTTGACTTAAGTAAAATTCAGTTATCTCGGGTATCTTATGATTCTTATTAGTATCTTATTATTCTTATTGTTCATCTTTGCTTTTCAATTAGTTATCCCTTTAATTCGAAATACTCAAATTAACTTGAAACACTTAATTTTTTTAATGCATGAATGCTTTTCTTAGCAAAAAATGGTAGCCAAACAAGCATCTTTTCTTTTTGAATCCGCATTTTTTCTTTTCGAATAACGAATTTTCAAAATATGCCACTATCATATGCCTAAATTACATCTGATACAATTATTTATGACTAGAACAAGAGTTACATTTTAGTAATATTTTTTGTTTAGAAAATTAGATCTGAAAAACTTGAAATTTTAAAAAGGAAAACTTAACTCCAGATATACACATTGGTACCTCTGTGAGTAAATCAAAAGAGCCGGATGCTTCGATAGCGCATTTTTTGTCAGTAAAAATCCCTTCATCTTAAAGACTTCCAACAAACTAGCCAAAAGAAATAAAAATTAGGTTAACGAACAAATCCGGACCAGCTGAAAATTATCCCTGTTATTTTTTTATCTGTCAGATAAGAATGGAATACAATACATACAAAGATAGCCGGTTCCTGAGCAAGTAGTACAGAAGGTTCTGGCCGAAAAAATTGTTCAAAATTGTTTTTCGGTGTGTAGGAAGAAAAGCGACAAGCGCCCGGTAGTTTCCACTGACTTCAGCAAACAATAGTTTTGTAGGATTTCATAGCAAAATCGCAAAGTTTATTTTTTTGAAGTGATTTTTTTTCGAAGATTTTTTTTGTTTTTATTCAGAGAATGAAAGTTTAAAAACCGTTTATTTATGTGTAGAATTAATTTATTGCTCAATTTTTGCTCATAACTTGTTACTCGCTTGCTGTACTTGCTCAGAAATAATCTAAAAAGTTTGAAATCGAATTCTCTCAACATTGAGAAAACTTTTTAAAAAATTCGATCTATTGTAATAATTATTTTTAGTTCCTTCCCACTCCATCACTCGATCTATTGTAATAATTATTTTTAGTTCCTTCCCACTCCTTTAAGTGGTTGGTACAACCAAAATGACTCTAGTACACATGTTGAATCAGCTGCATGATTTCATTCTGGTGCAATTATTTATTTCAAATCATTTTTCATTCTTGTCTATTTCGTTTTCCATTCAATGTCAGCAAATCGACTATTTTCAAACGCCATAAATTTGATTGCATGTTTGATGAACTCTATATTAATTTCAAACTTAGTTAAATCATCCATGTTTTTAACGTCATATGAAATATCGTAAGAGCATTCGTTTAGATAAACATTTTCCGAAAGCCGAATCAAACAGGTTGACCTGTAAAGCACTCAATCCAATTTTTTTTTAGTTAGACAGAAACAAATTTTTACAAAACGAATTCAGATTTCATCATTTTTCTAATTTAGTTAACTTTATAAAACTCATTTTTCTTGGTTATCGCCTTATGAGCATTACGGGTTTCATTTTTTACCGAGCATTGAAACTTTGATTCCACTTTCCGAAGAATCTCTTTTTTATAATATTTCCACTTCAAAGGCTTCAAACCATGTACAAATATTCTGTCTTTCAAAGAACAGAAATCAAATCTTTTGTACCATCCAGTAACTTCAGCTAGATTCTGAACCAGGTCACTTTTGTTTTGATTCGCTAAACATAGTCCCATATAAACATCTTCAAGTTTAAAAAACTTTGTCGACAAAGTAGCATTGAATAAAATTGGTATCAAATCGCCCGTGTAAAAGTATGCTGGTCCCAAACAAAAGGGAGGAAAAACATTTCCAGAAAATTCTGCTCTAGAAACATACCACTTGTTTTTTCGTTTTCTCTTAGGCTTGTGGTCCCAATTTGCAAAGCCCCCATAAAAACTAGAATTAGGAAGTTTTTCGACAAAACCCAAAAACTTGTCTGTTCTCACGAAAACGTCAATGTCAATTTTAAAAACATAATCAGCATTTGAGCAGAAAAAGTTCAGAAATGTCACTGAGAAAATTGTTTTGTAAGTCAAGTTCCAATAATTGTCGGCAAAATCGCCAATTAACAAGTCTTGGTTAACTAGTATTTCCGTGAGAAGGTTAGTGCGAAATGTGTTTCGTCCGTTTTCGTTCCCTAAGACAAATAAGTGTTCAAAAATGAAATAACTTTGGTTGAAATTCTGAATGTCTGTTAGCCATGATCTGCGAACGTTTTCACGATGAGCTAAATCATCAGTTTTTGAATACAACAAAATAAGAATAAGTTTTTTCTCATTTTTTGATGAACACATTTTTCTCGGACGCAGCAGGAAACTCTTTGGAGAATTGAACGGATTATTTTCAGATTTATCAAATAATTCTGTATCCAAATTCTTCGCTTCAGATGCTTGAAGTTGCTCGAATTCGATGTCTTTAGCTCGCAAAGGCATAAATCGCTGTAACTCGGAATATTTAATGTTTTCATCATTTTTCGCTTTAAGTGACATTAAAACAATCTGTAAGTTTTCCATTAAATATCGGTTTGTAAGTACGACGTGCTCTTCGTTTGAAGTAAGTATCTTAGCTGTTTTTCTCTCACGATAAACGCTAACCAGCCAAAAAACAACAAAAATGATGAGTGCACTGCGAATAAATCTACAACAGTTGAATCTTGATAGCCTGAAAAAGTTTAGTTTTTTTTCGAAACTGAATTATATCATTTGAAATTGAGAAGATACGATTTAAATTGGTTATTCTGATATTTTATGAACGTTGAACTATAGTCGCATAATTGGGCTTTTGCTATTTTTCAGAAATGGATGAGTATGGGTTTTCCTTAACTCGAGTACTGACAAATAACCTGACTTAATCAATATCATTTTTTATTTAAGAATGAGTCCCAAAATGGAAAAAAAATGTTTCCATCATGGTGATGCCTTGAATCACCATTTTCCTTATACTTGTCTAAAAAACTTTGCTTCAATAAATCGAGTTATCTAACCAGAATAGCCAAAAACTTCCTTCTAGAACTTGCTCAAAAAGACCAGAAAAACCCTAGATTTCAGAACAGGAATCATTCAGGGACCCTGCCAAGAACAAGATTGATTTTTGAAAAACTACAATCGAAAACGGTTTTTTCTCTTAAATTCTCATAATTTTTACTCTTATTTTTTTCTACTTCTCTAATCAGCAAAAAAAGAAACACGGGAATCGTTTAGGAAGAAAACAAAAACTCCTTGAAAGCCAAGCCTGGACACATGCTAAGAAACGTTACCGGAAATCCCGGAAAACAGCAATTGTTTTAATTTACCTTTTATAATTTGCCTTTATAACTATATATTTCATAAATAGATTTATTTTGATTTCGATTTCTTTTTGATAAATCTTCCAGTTTGAATCTTGCAAATTCATATCTAATTGGGCAAAAAACATTCCAAACAGATTGCAATTGCCGACAGAGACATGTAAGCCAAATAGAAAACACCTGAGCTAATGCGAAGTTTTCAAAACAACGAAAAAAGTTTGGCATCATAGTAGGGTAGACGTCTAGTGGGTACAGTTTGCGCATTTTGTCTCTACTTGTCCTTTACATCAAGAGCTTTCACTTTTTGAAATTAATTATTTTGTGATTTCGTTTGCATAATTTGTTAGCACTGTTGGATCTGTTCTTTGTAATAAAAATTAGAGCGACAAACTTTGCATCAAACACTCAAGTAAGAATCGATAAAATTGCCTGAAATATAGTTTGGGTTTGTTGCAGAATGCGAGCGGGCGCAAAATTACAACAGGTGGTTTCGAGAACAATTAGAGTACATCATGTACGAACCTTGAAAGCTATAATGCAAAATATATTCAATTCACTTTCATTCAATTGTACATGCTATAAACATTTTTTCGAAATACGTTTTATTATTCAAAAATTCAAATGGAAAGTTTTGTCTTAAAATTTGGCTTTGAAACAAATTATAAAGATTGTTCAAACCATAACAAAGAGCGATACAGTTTTTAACTTGAAATCTGCCACCTATTGGTATTTATCACCGGCGATCATTTTGCAACCGTTTCAAGATAGTTTTAAAAACCTTTCTGACGCATTTAAGCTTCTTTTTTACTACCCATGAAACTATTGTATAAGATTCAATCAAAAGCTTTTCCATTGGTTTCAGCCACAAGGTGTCACAATTGCAAAATGTTTTACAAAATTTTTTTCAACAAAAAATTTGGGATTAATTTTTTTTCAAAGTTGAAATAAACCGACAATTTACAATTGTGGTTCAACCTTTAAACAACACCCAAAAAGCATCCGTTTTTATCGTTTTTTGTTTGTCATAATTTAAAAGAATAAAATACATTCAAAAATATTAAAGGTAGAGCAAATTATGTAATCGAATGATGTTTAAAAAAGATTATTGGCAAAAAGTGTGTTTTTGGGTCTTTAGGAAAAATGTTCTGGTTGTTTTTTCCTGTTTTTGTCTTGTCGCATCTTGAGAAATTTTTTTACTGTTTAGGATTTCGCTCCGTTTGTTATCTATAGTTTTTTTAATCAGCAGTAAGTTACATAACGCAATAATATTAGCTTGCGCTTGTGAGTGTGTTTAGAGATTTTTGATACTTTTAGATGCTCTCTGATGTTTTGTTGGTGATTTGTTACAATAGGTGGTAATTTTGAGTGTAGTGCATGTATTAAATTTGAGAACTATAATGCATAATATAGTCATTTCATTTTCAATCAATTATACTACTACTAAGATAGTTTTTGTAAATAAATTCCTCTTCCAGATAAAATGCTATTCAAAAAATCAAAATTTACCCTCTTTTGCCAAAAAGTTTGGCTTTTGAAACAAATTATAAACAATGTGCAAAGTATAACAAAAAACGATCCAGCTATTCAAATTGAGCCTACCACCTATTGTAATATATCACCGTTTTGTTTTGTTTTTAGGTCTCTAGGTTTGTCTCGATAAGAGCTTGCTGATTGCATGGATGAGCTACGATATTGTTTTGGGACACAAAAATTTATGAACCTTCCATTCAACTATTACTTGCTTTTTGTGAGCAGCTCAAGGCCAATCGTTTTTAGCGTCCTTCATTAAAGTTTGAAAGAATTTGTCAACTTTCAAACTTTTAATAAACTTTGCCATAGACTTTGCAGTCTAGGCCTCAATTTTTCGAAGAGTCTTTGGGGCCAACCTTTGAAAAAAATTTGACATGCTTTTCACTTAGCCAGGCCTGAATTAGAGAGAAACTCTATGAATGACTTTCATAAAGAGTTAACCCGGGAGTCTAGTAAAAAAAACTTTTTGTTTCAAAAATAAAAGATCACAGCTTAAACCAGTTCATTTTAAATAAAACTGAGCTGCTGATAGTTTCACTGCCTTAAACACATGTCATAAAATTATAATGAATGCGTTCATGTGTAACTTCACATCGATATTTTTAAACCTATTCTTTATGAAATTAAAACATTGCAGGCTAAAATTATCTACGTTTTGTTACTAGTTTACCAATATAATCTATGCTGCTTAGAATACATCACTGTATTTGATCTGACCAAAATTTCCCTGAGACATTTAATCTAAAATATCTCCAATCATCCGAAATTACAAAAAATTTTAGCAAAAAAATCAATTAAAAAAATATTTGAAGCAGAACAATTTTGACAAAGTGGCAGACCCTTGTAACTTTGCAAAAAACTGCATATATTCCTTTTAAATTTTGAGCTACGGGTATCAATTTCTTTGCAGTAGTTAGAGCATAGTTGAAAGATGCCCGAGCGAAAAAGAGCCCGGCCTGAGGGCACGAAGTGCCCGATGGCGGCTCTTTTGGCCGCCGAGGCCATCTTCAACTATGTTGAAGAGTATGTTTTTGCTCTTTCTGAGGAAAAGATGCAGCAAAATTGTGAAAGAGCCCGGAAAATTGTGAAACAGCCCAATAAGTTGTGAAAGAGCCCGGAAAAGTGCGCGAAACTATGCAATGGTTTCTTTTTTCATTCATGCGTTCTAATATTTCATTTTTCATTCTTGCCTTGCCGTGAAAGAACATGTGTGAAAGAGCAAAAACATACTCTTCCAGACAAAGAAAAATGCTTGTAAAAATTAAAATTTGTCTAGAGAAAAAAATATCCCGAGCACAATTACATCCCTCTTTCTTCAAAATCTGGAACAAAAAGTAAGAACACATGCTCAAAACTTTAACCAATCAATTGTATTTTAGTAGCAGATTTTCGCATGTTGACCAACTCATCTTTTTGACAAAGATCTGATGAGTAAAATAAATCAGGCGGGATTTTTGACAATAAAAGATGTGTTCAAAAATTTTACAATTTTGTCGCTCTCCTTTCAAAATCAATCAAATTTAATAAAATTTCGTCGGTTTTTTTTAAATAATTCTAGGGCTTAAAATGAAAAATGTAGCCAACAGACAGCTGGAAAAAAAGATGAATGCAAAGAAACAGCAAAAAAAAACAGACTTGTTATTTACGTAAGCTCCTACTTTCGAATTTCAAAGAAAACGAATACATGGCCTGAAAGATCTTTTCGTTTCAAGAACAAAACATATACTGGTTGAAAATTTGTTGATGAAACTAACTTATTTAAGGAAAGAAGAATCTATGGGCAAAATTTTTATTCCGCTGGGAAATCTACGAATTGAATTCCACTATCGAAACGAAGTCCTATAAGGCCTAACTTGTGTGCTCATAAGCAATCGGATTCCGTGCACATGCCTTAATACAGAGAACTGTGTGTTTCGGAACCAATGACCACATACTTGCAATGACGGCATCGTCTTTTTTGCTACATGGCACGAAATCCGCAGTATGAAATTTGAAAGCAATTTCACCGGAATCCGTCGATTTTAAAACCTATGTAAGAGATATTTACATCGAATCCGAGGATTTTAACGATAAGTGGTGCACTGAGGTTGAATGAATTAAAACTTAAATTTGACTTCCGAAACGAGAAACCATCTCGTCTTTTGTGACCTGTACAGTTTTGCTATTCGATAGTGGAGTTCGCCTTCCTTTTAACAAAGGGAATGAGCTGAACTTAAAAAGAAATGAAGAGTCAAACCAAGTAAAACCAAATTTGAACTTTAACAAACTTCAAGACTTTTTCCTGAAAAAAAAAACAAAAAATCAAGAACTATATAAAAGTATTCACTTCATTCATGGCTGAGAAAAAACTGCAATTTAAAAACTTTTGAATGAGGCCAAAAAGGCAGTTTTTGAGTATTTTAAAAGTGAGTTGCAATTTCAATCCAATGGTTTTCTATTGACACCTAAGACGCCTTTAGAAAAAATTGATATTGGCCCAGAAAATTAATGTTAAAAAAGGGGATTTTTGGTTGCCGAGGGTTTCTTCAAATTCTTGAGGGGGAGGGAGAGGGGGAGGGGGAGGGGGAGGGGGAAGAGTTTGCTCTTTAAATCCGCTATTGGTATTGGTTATAAACACGCAGCAATTCAAAATTTTGAGAGATGGCGTTGTCGACTCTTGGAGTTAAGGGTACGGGTTGGTGACGGGGAACTTTTTCTTCCCTATAACTATGATATGAAACGGGTTTATCAATTTAAAACTTTTCTGCTACTTTTCAAAAGTTACTTCATTTTAGTATTTTAAAATAGATGCAAGTAATTCAATTTAGTAAAGTAATATTGTTTGTTTTTCTCGTCTAGCTTTGTTGACCTTTTTGGATTGAGCTTCCACCACCCGGCGAGGACCACTGGACAATATCTTTGTGGTCGATGAAATAGTTGTCGATCCTGTACATCATAGTATCAAAGTCGTTTTCGTCTTCGATTGGAATCGCGATCGGTTTATTAGTTCTGAAGTTAAACCGACACTTTTCGGCTAAGTTTCTCAGCGACAGAAGTGTCTGGCCTTTCTCCTGATTTTCCTCTCTGAATCTGTTTTTTCTAAAAAACAGCTGCTGTTGTTTCTCTTGGTTTCGATCTCTAAGTCGCTCTAAAATCTCCCGCGTCCTTTTGAGTTCCATCATGTTTTCAAGTTGTTCCTCGGCGTGTTTTGCTTTTATCGAGTCAAGTCGTTTCTGCTCGGAACTTAACTCGTCCGACAAACTACCCATTTTCCGGACCAAATCGGTGTTTGCGTCTTCCAAAGTTGAATACCGCGACATCAAAGCTGTCACTTTATTTTCAGACGACTCCACAAATTTATCGGGCAAATTGTCGATTACTTTCATCATGAACTCGTTGTACGGTTTCTTCTTATGGATTTCTTCTCTCAGACTCCGGTTTCGCCTTTTCAGCTCGTCCAGTTCTTTGCTTAGCTCCGATTGCTGAATTGCTAGTCGTTCGTTTGTTTTTCGTTCTGTTTTGAACTTTTCAACTGCCCGTTCTCGTTTTGCGTTCTGTTCTTGGATGTATTTCTGATCGTTTCCGATTTTGGATCGCAAAGAGTCTCGTTTTTCCCGAAGAATTTCTTTCCGCTTGTTGATGCTTTCCATCCGCTTCTCAAAAATGTCTCGTTTTTCGGTTAGTTCCAAGTTCATCTTATCGACGACTTTCTGTTCACGAATCAGAAGCGTTTTCTGCCGAGTTTTCACGCCGCTCCGTAATAAGTTTTCACCATTTTCATTCACAACCGGGTACTGTATAAGTGGACGACCATTTTTGTCTTTGCCCGTTTGCGCTTCCTCGGCGTCATAAAGATTACCCAGTTGGGTAACAAAAATACCCTTCGGCGCGGGTTCACAATCTAGCCGATAGGACATTTGGTGTTTCAGGTCGTCATCTTGGGCTAACCGGTCTTCTAACATTTTTGAAACTATAGTTTTAAAATTTTCTTCCAAAATAAAAGCTGAAATTTGAATATGAGCGCCCTGATATTGTCATAAACTCAGAGCATTTGAAGCAAACTCGATGGCAAAAAGAAAGTACAGCATGTATTAACCAATTTTATGCTTAAAGAACGATTTTGCGTTTGGTTCAAATTAAAGTATAATAAAATATTGGTAAAACACGAAGAAAAATGCGGCGTAATTATTAACGAGAATGATACTATGGCATAGTTCATCATAACAAATCATAATAAACGCGTTTGATTTCTTTAAAGTATATATGACCAATATGTAGTTTTCGTGACAAGTTTTTCTTTTTTCATTTTTCATTTCAGATTACTTTTACCTGAATAATAGTCTTAAATTAGACTTAAAATAAGTCAATCAATCAACCACAATGAAACTAATCCTTTCCGTGTTGTTCGGGAATTAGTTTTATTTTTCGCCAAACAAACAAACGGTGCGGCGAAGTCGAAGGCCGTAAAAAGTCACCTTTTTAGGATAAAAACATGGAAGTAATGTATTACATTCATAACTTAAATTGGATCAATTGAGCAATCTCTTTCCCCTCCCCCATTCTCGCGTGGGTGGGGGGAGATAGCTTAATAGGAATGTGATGAATGTTTAAAACTACTTGAAAATAGTTAAATTATTATGTAACCATGGTCCAGATTTCCCAAAAAATGTGGAACACCAATATTTACAATTCGAAATTCAAAAAATACTCTGCGTACATTATCGAAGTCCCGGGATGACGTCCATGCAAAAAAAATGCCTATCATGCAATTTCATATATGGAGTCTATGGAAAAATGCTGTCATACAATTTCCATAGAAGAATTTTTTTCGAAAATTATCATAAATTGGTTTAAGATTCAAACAAAGCAAATTGGTGGAAGTTGTGGTTACATGAGAGCAACTTTGGCATAAAAACAAAAGAAAACTGTACGATATGCGTTTTTCCATGAAAAAAAAAACAAACTTGATATACAATTTACGAAAAAAAAGTTTTCATGCAAAACTTGACTCTTTGTGTCGATAACGTAATCCAGATTGAGTTTTTCACCCAAAAAATCGGAAAACCACAAGCAAGAGTTTTTTTATAATCCCAACTATTAATTTTAAATATGCTAAGATAAACATATATTAGTTGAAAAAAGTCCTTTTTTCTCAACCACCAAAATTTTCAAAGTAAAATTTACTAGCCATATACAAATGTTACGTTTTTGGTATACTATTCTGCGTGAAAATGTTAAAATTAACATAATGACTAGTATCACCAAACGCAGTTTATCTGCGTAGTAATTGCCAGTTACACTCTGGACGTTCTTATGACAGAAAACCTTTAATTAGGTTTTCGGATGAAACAAAAACTTTTAAATCAAACTTTTTGTTTGGATTTTCATTTATGGAAAACCGCTTAACGTACAATTTGATACTATCGAAAACATGCTTATCACACATTTTCTTAGTTAAAAAATTGCTTTTGCTATTTTCATAAAACCTTTGTGATAAAAAGTATGGCAAAACGCTTGTCATTTAATTTCAAAATGAGTAAAAAACGCTTATCATGCTATTTTCATACTATTTTTTGGTCTATGAAATATATTGAAATAGTTATAGAAACATTTTGTTAGTATAAAACTGTATGGTAAAACTTTTTGTCAACCCAGGGAGCTGCAAATGAAAATTTTTGGCCTGAAAATGCAAAATAAGAACAACAGTCTTGGTAACTTGCTTTCTTCGAGCCAAGGGTCGCCCTAACAAAAGTTTGTTGATGTAGTTTATTTTTTAAATTTTTTCAATGAACCCATCAGACGCTATTTTAATTTCAACTTGATAATTTTTGCACCAAATAACGCAATTTTTGGGTTAAATTGGCTCAATTGAACTTGAAATGACTTCTGAGCCAGGTTAATTGGCTGCTTGTCCTGTGCATCAACAGAAAAATGACTCATCCAAAACTGGCATCCTTCAAACTACCATATCTTCTGTATAAATAAATACAGTCAAAAACTGCAAGATCAAAAATAAAGTTTGCGCAAGGAAACAACATTCAAAACTGATTAACTGACTATTAGCAAACTAATCGTTTTTTGTGCTTGTCATGTAATAACTTCAATGATTTCAAAAAAAGATAGACGAGTTATTTTTAAAAATCATTCAGAAAATGTAGAAAACAATTATTGCCCTACATTTGCAATTGTAGGGATTCATAAGTAACTGTAGTTATAAAAAAAAACAAAGTATTAAAAATGTTAGCGGGAATAGCCGCTTGCAGTGCAAAAAGAACAGAAAAATCCCTACAATGATCACTACTGCAAAAAAAGATCTTCTTTCACCTGCAATTAATTTTTCTGATCAACCCATTGGGTTAATATTTTTTCTTCACAATTTTGACTACGTGAAGGACAACTTGTAGGAAGTCATTGTAGTACCACATTAAACGATTTTCAGCCATGATTTGGATTGCAAATAGTTTTAGAAAAAAAGTTATCCCAGTGCCAAGAAAAAGTGGTCCGACAACTTAGCTTTTCAGATTTAATTAGATATATTAAACTGACCTCTTAATTAAATTCTACCGATATTAATATTAACGATATTTGCACTTTTGGTAGCTTTCACACTTGTATTAGGTCATCCAATTCAATCACCATTTGCAGAAAGAACTAGAACCTTTTTGTCTCAATATTGCCCAAAGAAAATCTCAGACAAATCAAACAAACAAGCAGTGAAGTAGCATTTGTATCTATATTTATTCTTAACTAGTAACTCTGCAGCGCCAAATTCAGTTCTAACAAAATATGAATGAACTTTTTTTGAATGCACTTATGAATGAAAGTGCAACAAAAGTTTTAAAGTCATTTTAAATGAACAAAATCGCGGGAGAAATAATTTTGTTGATGCTAGGTTGGCTGGCTATAATGGGAAAGACCCAAAATAATACACTAGTTGACAAAATTAAGCGCACATTCTAGATTTACTCTCTCAAATGCATGTTTTCAATGTACATTTTGGGCAACATTTCTTTCAAAATTCAGTAAAATTTTTACTTTGACCGAGAGCAAATGAGCAGAGCTACCATCTGTGAAAGTATCAATACTTGGTTTCAATGACTTACCAATGTAATCCGGATCTGAAAATGCCAGTTTTCCTCATCTGCACTAACTTTTGCATCGTGGTGAAATTTTTTTAAAATAAGTGGAGTAAAAAATTGTTCATGCGGCATGAAACATTCTCAGCAAGAAAATGGAAACGATCAGTGTGAAATGTTTTTACTAAACTCAGACGTTTGTTACTTCTTTACGTGAAGTAAAAAAAAACCTAGTGCAGATGAGGAAAACTGGCATTTTCAGACCCGGATTACATTGTTAAGTCATTGAAAACAATTTTGATACTTTCACAGATGGTAGCTCTGCTCATTTGATCTCGGTCACGGTAAAAATTTTACTGAATTTAGAAAGAATTGTTGTTCAAACTGAACACTGAAAACAGGCGTTAAATCCTTTTTTTGCGTTTAATTTTGTCCACTATTGTATAATAAAATTTGGACAGAAAATCATGAAAAAAATTGTAATATTTCATATATTTAGGTTCCTTCATCAAAGTGGCCAAAACAATTTGTGTTACTTGCAGAGGAACTAGCTATACTTGTTGATTGTAAAAAAAATTGACAATGCGGTATAATTAGGAGATTATACGCATGTTTAGTCTACAAACCTAAGCTTATTAAACCACTTACTAGTTATCCCAAAAATTGATAATTATGTGGATGGGGATGGGGAAAATGAGCTCATAAAAGATAAAAACACGAAAAAAAAGTTGTAGCCCAGAATAAATCGAAATGAGGAGTTCATTCTCAATTTGTCTCAAAAGCAAAAGTTTCTAACCGTTTTTTTTCGATGGAAAAGTTTTGAACTAATTATACTGCTGTTACTGTTGTTAAAGGCTTTAATATAATGTATCACTCAACACATCTTACTTTTAGTCGTGGTATAGCTAAATTTCTGGCTCAATTTTCTACAGTCAAAAGTTTAAATAAAAGCTTCAAGACAGCAGCTGACAGCAAGCTGAGCAGCAAACGACATGAAAAAAGTTGAACAGAGCTTAAAGAAAAGCTAATTAAATAGAAACTTACTTCATTCCTAAAGCTTCTTTTTGTCTTTTTCCGTCTCTTCCGACACCTGAGGTAAATTTGCTACAATAAACCCAACTTTCGATCCATAATTAATAACGAATGCTTGAACAAAAGTTGTAAATTAGAATCCTGCATATTTTACATCTGAGTTTGGCTAACAGCGTAGAAATGCAAGGAAGCAGGAATAACCTAAAATGTTGTTTTGCTTTTTTAAATCAAGGAGACAAAAAAGTAACCAGGGCAACCAGGGAACAGCAAACAAAATTAATAATAATTTGCTGCTAAGAGGTAATAACTACGGCTATAATGAAGAGAAATAGGAATTTTACTCTATCTCTCTTTTGAGTCCAACCGTAAGCTACCAATTGAATGACGTCATTGGCACGGTATTTGTTGTGCAATTGCAAGAAGTCAATTTTGAGATGTCAAAAGGCGATTCCTGAAACAAAAAATGTTTTTTTTTATAATATCGTTTAACCAAAAATTCATGCCGAATTGTTGGCAATATTCTTGACGATCAACGAATCTGGACAAAGTTACTTAACTAAATCTATTCATTTAGACCCAGGAATAACTTTTTGTCGTAAGAATTTATATAATTAATATAATTAGTAGCAAAAAGTTCGGACAGACAGAATTAATTAAAATAAGCAATCAGTGCTTTTTGACGTTTTTTTGCATGCAAAATCTGAAGCCGGACAACCTTGAATTTTTTGTCAGACCAAATTCAAAATGCGAGATCGTCGATTATTCGATGATTATGCTAGCCTAATTTTTATATGCTGCGATGAACATCAAGATTTTAGATTTTACTATAAATCAGTTAGCAAAATTAAATTAAAAAACTAAATCTAGAGTTGTTTTCAACAAAAAAAAAAACAAATTAGGCTGCCCCAAAAAAAAAACAAATGGAAGTGAAGATGATGAACTCATTCAAAAATTGGAAAGTAATCGCAGAAAAACATTAGCTACCTTGAGCAGTAATTTTTTTGTTTCAAGGTTTACTATTCGCCGCTGATGTCCGTTGATGTCTAGACAGTTGCTCTTTTTAATTAATTCTGTCTGTCTGAACTTTTTGCAACTCTCTATAGCAAAAAAAAAACAGAACAGACAGGAATAATTAAAAAGAGCAATCTGCCAGCTTTGAGCAATTTTTGCATGCTAACTTGAGTTCTTGACTTCTGCTCGCAAAAGTTTTCTAAAATAGGTAAATTGCTCTTCCTAATAAATTCGGACTGATTCAACTGTATGCACATTGCTATACAGTGCTGATTTTTATTATTTGGACAAACTGAACACTTTTGCAAATTAGGGCCTAAAAATTACCCCAAAATGATAATTTTTGGCTCTTTTAGTATAACAAAGGTTACGCCAAAAGTATTGGTTGAATTCCTGACAAAAATTATGAAGATGAGCCTCTTATATAGCCCAACAAAATGTAGGAAAGGTATAATCTCCAAAAATTGGCGCAAAACGTCTAAAATTTGTTTTTCTTTCAAAATAAGTATTTTATGCAGTAAAATTGACAGTTTTTGGTTATCAGACAAAATAAACATAATTAAAAAAAACCTGAGACAATTCTATTCTTCTAACTTTTTCTGGCCTCTTTTAAAGGTTTGCCTTGATAAATTTTGCCATGATATAGTCAGATTTTGTCTGACCTTGATATAGTTTTGTCGTAACTTTTGATTGACTAAAAAGCCGGAAAGGGTCGTTTTTGTAAAATAAATTTCTGAATAGCTTAAACCATTTTTTAAATGATAAACATTGCAATTGGATTTCACCCATGATTTCATTTTTGAGAGACGGAAAACTAGTATAATAGGTTGAGAAAAACTGGAACAGACAGAAATAGTTTTGTAAATCAATCTGCCAGTTTCGAGAAGTTTTTACTCAGAGGCAAAGCTGAGCTTCGCACCACTTGTAATACAACACAATTATAAAAAACATAAGTCGCAAAAACAATCAAAAAAATTGAGAAAAACTAGGTTAACTAAAATTTTCGTGTAACTCGACGAAGGACAAATAGCGCGCAGCTAAAGCTGAAAGCACGGGTTTGATATTTTTGAATTTTTTATTTTGATGCGGGACGAAATGAGTAATTTCAAAAATTGGACTTTGCCCAAAACCTTAGTTGTTTCACTATTAAAATAAGTGAGAATAGTGAAAACGTTCAAGATTTTGGAATGTTCGCAAAGTCATAACATTTCTTTTACACAAAACTTTTAAAATAGCAGCTTTTGCAGGAAAATTTTGTGCAACCGCTTAATTTGATCGAAATTTTAATCTCAGATCTGATAGGGAAGTGCTAAAAAAACGTCAATGTTCAAAAACTCGACTTTACTATATCCATAACTTTTTGTGCAAAAAGCAGGTCGTGGCCGCTAAAGTAGAGAAGATTCCCTAAATCGGGTTACTCTATTGAACACTTCACCTGAGATTTGGCACGGTAATGTTAGAGTAAAGTCACAAAGCTTCCAAAAAACAGTCAAAATTTCAAAGCTTTCACGTGTTTGAAGGCCATAACTTTTTTAAAGAAACATGAGTGGAGAGAAAATTCCAAAGGAAAGCTTCCAACAACCTGTCGTGTCGATTAAACCTATGATATTCGATTTGGCAAATAGTTATCGAGAAAAGTCCAGAAAAAATGGTCAACAAATCAGATAGTTGACATTTCCGAAAATGATAGCTTTTTGTTTTGAAAAATTGCTTGTTGCTACTTATGCCGATGACATTAAACTAACCTGTTGTTTCGAGATTGATCTTTAAAACTCAGGGTAGTTCTCCCGAAAAAATCGAAAGTTTAGAAAAAAGCAGTCAAAAAATCAAATTGATTTTTCTGAGGACCAGAACTTTTTGTGTAAGAAATCGTGTGAGTAGCCGCTCGAGCAGGGAAGCTTCTCACTGCATTTAGATTCATTCAACCCACAACATCTGGTTCTGGAGGTTAGTTTGCGAGAAAATCAAAAAAATCAAAACGGTCAGAAATATCAAACATGTAATTAATCCGAGGGCCATATCTTTATGTTTAGAAAAATTGGGCATAGACGCTTATGGAAGGGAGCTTTCCAAATCTGCTCTTTTCATTGAAACAAAAAATCTCAGATTTGGTAGTTGTGTTTTTGAGAAAACGAAAAAAAAACTCAAAAAAATCGGTCCCCTACAGACTTTTTTTGAAAACTTAGACAAAATATTAAAGCAAAAACAGACCAGGGGAGTATGCAGGCACACAAGGGTGTAGGCTGTCTTTTAATGGATATTCTTTTTCGAAAATCGGTTAAAAAAAGTTTTGAGGCTTTTAAAAAAACCCATAAATCCTAAATCGTTTGTTTTTTTCAAACAGCAATTCTAGGCAAACATGCCAAACAAGGCATTTGAAATTCAAATTCGCAACTGGACAAACTTGCGGAAACAAGGCCGACAAGTCCTCTATAACAACCCTTTAGTAACTAGTACCCACCCAGTAACTAAAATTGAAATTTCATGAAATTGAGCATATCAGCATTGATATCAGTAAGTGATATCAGCAAAAAGATTTAACTGATTTTTTTAAACTAGTTGTTTACTAGAAAAAAAGTCTGCTTTTCGATTTGATAACGCTTGCTCATCGCAATCGTAAGCATGCAAATTTGAGTTTTAGATGACCTTGAAAAAGTCTTTCTGTCTAAAAAATTAAATTTTGCAAAATGTTTGTTTGCAGTTCCAATTTTTTGCAGTTCTCAATAGAACTTTGGATGCCGGAATAACTTCAAAATTTCACTGAAAGCGGGTATCTAAGAGCCGAACGGGTCTACGTGCTGAACAAATACCGATAGTGCAATCGGTTTGAGGGGCCGCGTGCTTACCAGCCCAGATACCCGATTTGTTACAAACAAAAACACCTGGAAGACACTAACTTAATTGATTAAAATTCTATTCTGTTGATATTAAACGTAGACTTCAGATCTTGGGCGCGTTCTGCTCTTGAGCAATTCTGCCTCGTGCGATTCTGCCTTGTATACCAGAAGAGCAGATTTAAAAAAAAAGTTGTTTCTGCTATTCGCAGAGGATCTCTGAAAGGCTTAACAGCCTGTCTAAGCATAGTACGTTTCTCTTATTTTACCCACATTTCAGACCGAGTTATTTTGTTGGGCAAAGTTTTTTTGCGGCTCAAAATTGATTTTTTGCGCCTAAAATTTTCACCTGGAAACACTATTGCAGCCAAAATTGGTCAGGCTCGTCCTCCTCCCACACTGTTATTTCCATGGCTGATATTAGATTACACATCTGAAGATCACGAAGTGAACGCCTTACCACTATGCTAAATGCCTCCCAAGAAAAGATTGAGCGAAGTAAAAAACCGTCCAAGAGTAGAAGGCGCCTAAAAACTGACCAAATTTGAATACCGCAGTCGGATATTACACGTTGCAACAGTGGCAACGCTTACATCCGGTAGAAGGAAAAGTAAACACGACCAAATTTTACGTTTTCGACAATGTATTTTTCTGGTACGTTTTGAAACTTATTATCAGTGACCTCCCAAGCAAATGACTATTTCTTCTGCTTTGTTTTATTTATTCAATTTCTGAAAAAAACCACGATCAGAATATAATGTGCAGCTTGCAAAGCAGCAAACATTTTTTACTGTTTTTGTTCTGACTTTCGCACAAAAGCGGAGTAATTATAAATGGGGTGGTTTTTTTTCTATTTTTGACTTTTTATTCAAGCGTTTTGACGAAAACTTTTTATACTATCCGAAAGCAATTGTTGCATAAAGCTCAAGCTCAAAATGATATTTCAACTGGGATAGTTTTCGTTAAAATTATGCGGGGTTTGAAAATTGCTGATTTGACCAACTTGGTATAAAAAACGCCGGTTAGATTGCATTTTTATAAGATATAAGACGCGTAGGCGGTGGATTAATGCATTTCCAATTGAATTGAGACAAGTTATTTGTTCTTTTTATAAGGAAATAAGACGCTTCTTTTTGTAGCCTCTTTTTGTGCGCGGGGTGCGAAATTGAAGAGAACAGTCTTCTTTTCATTAATTTTGTCAATTTCTCAATAAAAAATTTATATGTAATATGAAAAAAATGAAAATTTTCATACAAAAAACGTTCCTATTTGTAGCAAGCGTGTGGAAGGATGGTTTTCAAAAAAATCTCAAGATAGTTGCTTTCAGCTTTTTCAAATTTTTGGTCAGTTTTATTATCTAATAAATCAAACACTACACCATAAAACTGAAAGGGCAGTCGAAACACGTAGGGTGTTCTCGCTAGAATTCATAGCGAGAAGAACATTGATCGCAATTTATGAACTTTCTGGTGAACAAAGAGCTGGTGTAAAATTTTCTGGTGTAAAAAAATCAAATGATTGATCGAAACAAAGTTAACAAGTTTTTCAGGAACTGTTTTAAAATTGATTTATCAATGCTTCCACTTTGCGTATTTCATGACATTGG